GCGTCGTGTGTCTCGGGAGCAGGGCACAGGGCATTAGTTCTTGCTGGTAAAGTTCTAGCAGACCAAGCAGGGCTCAGGTTCAACCACTGTGGCAGCAGCTGCCCCACATCTAGAGTGAAGCTGACTGCGGCAAAAGTAGCAGCTCACCAGAGGCACCGCTTCCGGGGCGCTGTTCTCAGAGCCGTTCTTGGAGGCCCCACGAGGGTCCTGCCCCTTCAGCTCTTCCAGCGGCCCTGGCAGAAGCTGATTCCCTTTGTCAAAGCTCTTCCTCCTTAAAACAGGAAGAGTGCTATTTGTTATCTGCAGCTGAGCCTGGCCTGACACAAACACCAGGAGCCTAAAGATAGAAGTGATTAAACATATAAAAAGGGAATCAGCCATATTTGTAATTGAAGAAATGCAAATTAAAGCAAGATACATTTAAAAATTTTTTCCTATTATTTTCTGAAGATACATTTCACCTATCACATTGGCAAATATTCAAAATATAATGCCCAGTCATGGTAGAGACCTGAGGAAGCAGAGATATCATACCATCATTCACCACTGCTGCTAATACAGAATTGGTACAATCTTTCTGGACAAGAAAGTTTTAAAAATGTGTGTGACCTCGGACCTAGTGATTCTACTTCTGAGAGTTTATCCTAAAGGAATAATTAGGATGTGCACAAAGATTTAATTGCAAGAATGTTCAATTAATTGTAGTCTAAGTTTTTTAAAAGGAAATTATGTCATGTTGAACAATTGAGGGCTGGTCAGATAAATTATGGCATGTACGTAATATAGAACACTATTCAGACTTTAAAAAATCGATAGTAGAAGAATGCTAATAACGGGAAACTCTTGCCAATATATTAAATGAAAATATCAGTTGTAAACAATGGGCACAAGAGGATTCCATTTTTGGTAAAATAAGAAGGTGATAAAATAGTGTTTTCAAAATATTAACTAATGATATGGATGAATCTCACAGACATCATTTTTTTAACACATTTTAAATATTTATTTACTTATTTATTTATTTATTTATTTATGTTTGGCTGCGTTGGGTCTTCATTGCTGTGCGCGGGCTTTCTCTAGTTGAAGCGAGCAGGGGCTGTTCTTCGTGCCGGTGCACGGGCTTCTCATTGCGGTGGCTTCTCTTGTTGTGGAGCACGGGCTCTAGGCTCGTGGGCTTCAGTAGTTGTGGCACACAGGCTCAGTAGTTGTGGCTCACGGGCTCTAGAGCGCAGGCTCAGTAGTTGTGATGCACCGGCTTACTTGCTCCGTGGCATTTGGGATCTTCCTACCAGGGCTCGAACCGGTGTCCCCTGCATTGGCAGGCAGATTCTTAACAACTGCGCCATCAGGGAAGTCCCTCCCAGACATCATTTTGAACAAAAGGAGCCAGATATAAAAAGTGCACATTAAAAGAAATCAAAATGGTGTTTACCTTCATGTGTGGGAGGTAGGGGTGCAGGGAGAATGGATATTGACTGGGAAGGAACATAAGGGAAACTTCCAGGGTGCTGGAAATATTTTCTGTCTTGAGCTGGGATGTCAGCATATAGGTGTCCACAAAAGTAAAACTTTTTTGAGTTGTGCACTTAAGATGAGTGTTCTTCATGCACTTTATTGTTTGTATGATAAACCTCAATTTAAGAAAAGTAAAAATCTTTCTGCTGATGTGTCCCATGCCCTGCCCCTAAACACCACTACCATCATATTAGAGCATCCAGTATGGTCGGTCACCTGTTCAACGTCTGGAGAGAGGTGTGAGGGAGCGGTAGTCCGAGCAGCAGCAGAGTTAACACCCAGGGGCGTTAGGCCATCAGCAAGGTGCAGCTTCACACTGAGGCTTGGCTTAGTCTCTGATCCTCCCCGTGAGGATAACCCCATCTTAAATTGTCCTAGGGTATGAAAAGATGAGAGGAGAATGTGCCCCAGGAGAGGAGGGGGATGAAGGTGAGCGGTGGGGAGCACAGACACTGAAAATATCTAGTTCATGAAATTCCTAAGCAGAGAAAGTGGTTAAATGCCTCCCATTGCAAAGGTATAAAGGAAGGAGGGAAAGAGAGAGGAAGGAAGGAAGGGAGGGAGGGAGGGAGGGAGGAAGGAGCAAAAAAGACTTAAAAGATGTAGCTAAAATATAATAGAATTATGGATGATTTTTTAAATTTTCGCTTGTCTGTATTTTCTAAATTTTTGTTTTTTACAATTGTGTATTATTTTTGCAATAAGAAAAGGAAGCTGTTTGTTCGTGCTTCACGATACTTACACTGCGTGCCGTGGTGGGAAGTCAACAGTTCCCAACAGGTCCTGTTCAATTTTGACCTTAGATCAATCCACCCTGGTTTTACGTGACCTCAGGTGGACCCACCCTTGTCTATGAGCATCTTGGGTAATTTATCACCTTTAGGATTGTGCAAGAAACGTGACTTTGTTGGGAGTCTTTTTTCTTGACAACAAATTACTAAAGACATAACCCAGAAAGAAAGTGTGCCCAGGCGCACGTATGTGCAGAGCAGGCTGGTTTCTCTCCAGTGCTACACACAGGTGGGCCCTAGGCACAGAGCCGCAAAGGAGGGGGTGGGTTACCTTAGGCCACCAGGCCCTCGGCTTTCCATGCTCCTCCCCGCTTTCAACACTTGTTCCCAGGAAAGGTTCTGTAGTCTCTTTCATACTGAATTTAAAAGCACTTAGAGAGAGATCAGAGCTCTCAAGGGGCTCAGAATCTAAGATCAGAATCTAAGCAGAGACGCTCTAGTTGCAGATTTCTGCAAAAACAATCAACCGCTGCACAGGTGTTTTAATGATAGAATAGGAAGCCTGCGTCAGCCCTTGAATAAAAGCTGCCACCAAGTCTGCCACTCTAAGACCCTGACCCCACCCCATCTCCCACCCCAGTCACTGCTCCAAGTTCCCTGTTCCTGCCTGGGATGGTCCATGGTTGTTTGCACATCGTAAAGCCATGTCAACATTGACTGGACCCCATTCTACACTCAGTTTGGTGACCAGATGCCACTGAACAGAAAGTTTGAGGCAGGCTGTATTGCCCCAAGAGGCTTCTCTGGGGGAGGTGGGCTCATCAAATACCAGAAAGATGCAAGTACAGACGGTCCCCAACTTACAGTGGTTTGACTTACAATTTTTCCACTTTATGATATTGCAAAAGTGAAACACATTCAACACTCGCTGTCACTGCCCAGCATCACGAGAGACGATGGTCCCGCATTTCCCTGACCCAGGAAAAGATCCAAATTCCAAACCTGAAGTACGATTTCTACTGAATGTGTGACGACAGTCAACAAACCAATACCTTATAACCACTCTGCACCCAGACAAGCATTGTTTTTCACTTTCAGTACAGTATTCAATAAATCACATGAGGTATTTCAACACTTTATATAAAAGTTTTGTGTTAGATGATTTTGCCCAACTGTGGGCTAATGTAAGTGTTCAGAGCATGTTTAAGGTGGGTGAGGCTAAGCTATGGTGTTTACTAGGTCAGCTATATTAAATGCATTTTTGACTTAACGATATTTTCCATTTACAATGGGTTTCTCAGAGTGTAACCCCATTGTAAGTCAAGGAAGATCTATAGTTGGGACCGGTAGGGATAGTTTGCGTAAGTGATTGAAGGCAGGACAATGATGAAACTCATGTGGCTGGAGCAGAGACTTCTTTCTAGATGGAGCTCCTTCTCCCCAAAGGCTGGAGCAGAAACTGAAACACACTTATTGATGGACAGATGGGATGGTAGGATATCAAAGAGTGAGCTGATTAATTTGTATTTTATCTTAAAAGTGATAGTGAGTCAAACAAATGATTCTGAGCAGCCCAGTGATAAGTTGAAATTGTACTTTAGAAAGATGTATCTGCAGGATGGATAAGGAAGGGAGAACTGGTGATGAGGAAGCTAGGCTGTAGCCTACTCTCCAGGAGAGAAAGCACTTAGGGAGCCAGCCACAAAAACAGACATTGTGAATTAAGAAGCATTGGACTTTAGTGCCTCATTGGGTGTGAAGGGTTCAAATGAGGAAAGAATCGAAGACAGTGCTGACATATAAACCTGGAGAAATTTGATACATCCCCTAGCTCTTCCCATTCGTTCATTCACTGAACACCAATTGAGCACTTACCATGTACAAAGAGCTAGAGAATTTTAAAAGATGCGTAAGAGAAACAGCATGTACTCTTGAGAAGCTCATAGCCTCGTGCGAGAGAAGATAGAATCAACAAAATGATGTGAAGATGCAGGACTTGCACTTGGCTCGGGGAGCTGCAAAGCATGGAGAAGGGTCTTTAATTCTCATGACAGGTACTGTCATCGACATGAACCCTGCTCCCCCATGCTGGCTCATTCTGTCATGGCTTTAAATAGAGGCAAAGGCTGGAAAATTCCTACGGGGCTGGGTGGGGGGTGGATCTCTGGGGCCAGTGAGAAGGAGAGCACTGCAGATGGGAAGGAGCCCCAAGAAGCATGTCTCCCTTTCCTGGGCACAAGGTGTGGTGGGTGGACCCCAATGGTACCAGGTCACCTCACATTTGGTTACATCCCTGCTTAGATTCTCATGTATTTTTCCTCTCACTATTCTGCAGATAACACTGAGAGTCCTTGATGCTGGAGCTGGAAAAGATAGTTTAGTATATACAACCTCATCTGTAGATGAAGAAAACTTCCCTTTCAGTGCTCCTTGTTCTTCATTCCTCTCCATTTCCTCTCACTAACAAGACTTAACTATGCTGGGTCATTAGAAAACTAAGTGGGGACTTCCCTGGTGGCGCAGTGGATAGGAATCCGCCTGCCAATGCAGGGGACACAGGTTTGATCCCTGGTCCGGGAAGATCCCACATGCCGCAGAGCACCTAAGCCCGTGAGCCACAACTACTGAGCATGCAAGCCACAACTTCTGAGCCCACACGCCACAACTACTGAAGCCCATGTGCCTAAAGCTCATGCTCTACAACAAGAGAAGCCAACACAAGGAGAAGTCTGTGCACTGCAACAAAACAAAGAGTAGCCCCTGCTCGCCACAACTAGAGAAAGCCCATGTGCAGCAACAAAGACCCAATGCAGCCAAAAATAAAATTAAATATTAAAAAAAAAAAAAAAGCTGAGTGATAAGTACACAATAATTTTTTTTTTTTTTTTAATTTATGGCTGCATCAGGTCTTAGTCGTGGCATGCGGGACCTTTCGTTGTGGCACTCGGGCTTCTCTCTAGTTGTGGTGCTCAGCCTCAGTAATTGTAGCACGTGAGCTTAGTTGCCCCGTGGCATGCAGGATCTTAGTTCCCTGACCAGGGATCAAACCCACGCCCCCTGAATCGGAAGGCAGATTGTTAACCACTGGACCACCAGGGAAGTCCCCATAATAATGTTTTAATGAAGTCACAGAATGGTGTTAAGAGCTGGTAATGACTTAATGTGTTTTTCCTTCTAGGGTGATTTACATTTTATAATAGAAAGTTCTTAAACACCCTTAACAACAACAACAACAAACCCCAAACAACTATTAATAAAAGCCAACAAAACAAAATGAAAACAGATGAAGGTATGCATGCCCCCAGGTGGATTGTATCAGATTAGAGCAGAAGAGGGTAGACAGGCTTTCTGCAGAGGGGAGTAAGAGCTTCTCAAATTTCACCCTCCAAACCCAGGTTGCTGCCCCCTTGGCCTTCTATGAACGCAGCTGACCCTGTACATACAAATCCTTCTCACACGGACCAAGATGATGGATGTATGACCTAACTGGGAGAAAGGGGCAGGTGGGAGATAACAGTATGAAGGCAAGAGGACACCAAAGAAACACAAGACATGAGTGATGATAATCCCTCACTCCTCTTTCCTAATATTGGGATTTGAAATTATTTCACAAGCAATGTAAGGTATGTAATGTCACTTGCATATCAGAGATATAGATCAGTGATTTGGGGTCAGAATCCCTGGGAATCACCAAAAGACAGGCCATCTATTTTCAGTGCTGACGCTGATGAGCTGGGACCCACCTTCCCACAGGAGATTGACTGTGTTCTCCAGTCTTCTGGCCTGACTTCCTCTCCAAACAATGTAGAAATGTGTGCACTGTACAGAGGCCCAGCCAAGGGGACAGAGAAGCTGAAATCCAGCTCATGCTCAGCTCACTAAGCCTTGAATCATGGGCAGGTCTGCACTGCACCAGAGAAAAGAGCACTTTTTTTTTTTTTCTTTTTTAGTGGTCTGACCAAAGAAGTGTCTGTACCTAATTTGAACAAAGGAATATGTAGGTTAGGGACATCTGTCTACTTCTTGTCTCCCTCGAACCTACAAAAGACTAAATTGATGTCTCTGGAAATAAATAAGGTACTCTCAGTCTCTCCAACAGTCTATGTCAGACCATGCCAAACAAAACAGTGCTGAATTTAAAAGAATACTGTGAAGAGGAATCTCCCTTGTCTTTCCAAGTCTCTTGAATGAGTGTCCACTATTACCCCATCTATTCAACATTGTACTAGAGGTCCTAAACAGTGCAATAAGGCAAGAAAAAGAAATGAAAGGTTTAAAAACTGGACAGCAGGGCTTCCCTGTTGGCGCAGTGCTTGAGAGTCCGCCTGCCGATGCAGGGGACACGGGTTCGTGCCCCGTTTCGGGAAGATCCCACATGCCGCGGAGCGGCTGGGCCCGTGAGCCATGGCCGCTGAGCCTGCACATCCGGAGCCTGTGCTCCGCAATGGGAGAGGCCACAACGGTGAGAAGCCCGCATAACGCAAGAAAAAAACAAAACAAAGCAAAACAAAACTGGACAGCAACAAGTAAAACTATATTTATTTGTAGATGACAGGATTATATAGAAGAAAATGAACAAATTATTAGAATTAAAAATAAACTTAGGGCTTCCCTGGTGGCACAGTGGTTGAGAACCTGCCTGCCAATGCAGGGGACATGGGTTCAAGCCCTGGTCCAGGAAGATCCCCCATGACATGGAGCAACTAAGCCCACATGCCACAACTACTGAAGCCCACATGCCTAGAGCCCATGCTCCGCAACAAGAGAAGCCACCACAATAAGAAGCCCGCACACCACAACGAAGAGTAGCTCCCGCTCATTGCAACTAGAGAAAGCCCAATGCAACAGAGACGAAGACCCAGTGCAGCCAAAAATAAATAAATAAATAGATAGATAGATAAATAAATTCATCAAAGTCACCGGCTATAAGGTCAATATACAAAAATCAATCATATTTCTATAAACAACAAAAAAATTGAAAATGAAAAATATTTAAACACCATTTATAATAGTATCGAAAATATAAATACCTAAGAATAATTCTAACAACAACAACAACAACAGAATGTGCCCAATCTCTATGCTGAAAACTGTAAAACATTTCTGGGAGAGAAATTAAAGAAGAACTAAATAAACAGATATTCCAACATAAATGAGGGAGAGTAATCTATACAGTAATAACATTTCTATATTCTACTTAAAGTGATAAAATATTAGTTCTAATTAGACTGTGAAATATTAAGTATGTACTTATAATCCCTAGAGCAATCACTAAAAACATACAAAGAGATATAATTTTAAAACTCAATAGAAAATTAAAATGGAATACTAAAAAATATTCAAATAATCTAAAACAAGGCAGAAAGGGGAAATAAAGGAAAGAAAAACAGAGAGAACAAACAGAAAAGAAATAACAAAATGTTAAAACAACCTAAATCCAGACATATCAATAACTACACAATTAAATGCAAATGATCAAAACCATAGGTCAGCAAACTTTTTCTATCAAGTGCCAAATAGTAAATATTTGAGGACTTCTCAGCTATATAGTCTCTGTTATAACTACTCAGCTCTGCTTTTGTAGGGGAAAAGCAACCATAGAAAAGATTTAATCAAATGAACATGGCTGTGTCTCAATAAAACTTTATTTACAAAAACAGGCAACTGGCAAGATTTGACCCACAGGCATAGTTTGCTGGCCCCTGGTCTAAACACATCAATAAAAAGATAAGAGATTTTCAAAGTGGATTAAAAAACAAGACCAAACTATATGCTGTCTATAAAACAAAACAACACATACACACACCCTGTCTTAAATAATAAAAGGATGGAAGGAAATGTACTGTTTAAATACTAACCAAGAGAAAGCTGGCGTGGCTAGGTTGATATCACAAAGTGGACTTCAGAGCAAGAAAAATTACCAGGGATAAAGAGGGACATTTTGTTGAAAGACAATTCTCCAAAGGCTCTAACACTGTCAACATCTTGTGAGCAGAGGCAATGACTGTCTTGGATCTGGAGTATCTTTTCAAGGATGTTGTATAGTCTGCAGCGCTGGAAATAGAAATGGCCCTTCCCTCCTTAGCAAGGGGCTGGTTTGTTTTCATTCTAGTAGAATAAAGATAATGTCTCCCTTTGGATCAAAGGTCAGGAAAGTCTGCTGCCCATTATGAGATTTGGGTGCCCTAATCTCAGGGATCCTCTGCTGTGATGCAACCCACTGCATGTACAGGTGCCATCTGGTCCCCTTTGCATTATCCAGTGGGAAATGGGGCTCAAGGCAGTAGTGCACATGCTGAAACTGTGGCTGCTGCTTTAGTGGCTAATAAAGTCCTGTGACGTTGACCTGGGAGCCTGTGTCTTCTGTCAGTACCCATAAAACGGTGGCAGGATAGCTTGTTAGGTTGCAAGGAGGGTAAAACCTCAGACCCTTCACTGTTCTTACAAATGATAAAAAGGGTCACCATGATAACACAGCCATTCTAAACGTGTATGCACCTAACAACAGAGCTTCAAGATGCCTGCAGCAAAAAGTGATAACACTGAAAGGAGAAACGGACAAATCCACAATTACAGGTGGAGAGTTCAGCACTCCTCTCTCAGTAATCACTAGAACAAATAGAGAATTAGCAAGGATACAGAACTGAAAAACACCATTAACCAAATAACCTGATTGATATTTCTAGACTATTTCACCAAATACATTTTTCCTGAAGAACATTCATCAAAAGAGACCATATCCAGGTCATAAAACAAACTTTGATAAATTTAAAAGAAGTAAAATCATATAAAATATGTCCTATGACCATAATGGAATTCAGAAATCAATACAAGAAAGATAACTGGAAAGGGCTGGGCAACTAAGCCCACAGGCTACAAGTAGAGAGAAGCCTGCACGTCACAACGAAGACCCAGCGCAGCCAAAAATAAATAATAAATAAATAACCCAACAACCCTCTCGCATGTATTTAATCTAGAAAAATGAAAATGTATCTTTACATAAGAACCTGTACACAAATGTTTACAGCAGCACTAATTATAATTGTTAAAAAGTGGAAACAACCCAAATTTTCTTCAACCAGTGAAAAAACAGTGGTACATGCAACAACACAGATGAATCTCCCAGGCATGACACTGAGTGAAAGAAGCCAGACCCAAAAGGCTACCCATTGTATGATTCTATTTATATAACATTCTGTAAAAGGCAAAACTATAGCCACAAAGAATAGATTAGTGGTTCCCAGAGGTTACAAGCGGGGCAAGGATATGACTACAAAAGGGCAGCACAGGGAGTTCTGGTGTGATGCAACTGTTCCCAATCCGGATTATGGTGGTTACACCCTACATGTGTCAAGTCCCGTAGCACTGTAATTTTTTTTTTTAATTAAAAAAACTCAATGTTATTGTATGTTCACTTTAAAAACAAAATAAAATAAAGACA